TCAGACTAAAAGCAGAGGCTATTTAAGTATACTCTGGCAGGAGATAAGATATAAGAAATATGTACCCAAACATCAGCATTATACGCTTTAACTAGACACTTTAAAATCTGACTGGTCTCCTTTACTACAATTGTTGTTCTTTGTTGTTACGTGCTATCAGGTTGTCTCCAACTCATAGCAATCTTATATACAATAGAATGGAACACTGCCTGGTCCTGTGCCAGCCTCACAATCCCTCCTATACTTGAGCCCATCACTGCAGCCACCATGTCAATCTATCTTGTTGAGGGCCTCCCCTCTTTCATTGACCCTCCACTTTACCAAGCTTGACATCCTTCTCCAGAGAATGGTCCCTTCTGACAACATGACCAAAGTAGGTGAGATGAAGTTTGGCCATTCTCGCTTCCAAGGAGCATTCCAGCTGCACTTGATCCAGGACAGATTTGTTAGTTCTTTCAGCAGTCCACGGTACTCTCAGCATTCTTCACCAATATCACAACTCAAAAGCATCAACTCTTCTTCAGTCTTACTTATTCACTGTCCAACTCTCACATGCATATGAGGCGAATGAAAATACCATGGCTTGGGTTTAGCTCATCTTAGTCTTCAAGGACATATCTTTGCTCTTTAGCGCTTGAAAGAGGTCTTTTGCAACACACTTGCCCAACGCAGTATAGTATGTCTTTTGATGTCTTGACTGCTGCTTCCATTGGCATTGATTGTAGAACTAAGTAATATAAAGTCTTTGACAACTTGAATCTTTTCTCCATCTATTGTGATGTTACTTATTGGTCCAGTTGTGAGGATTTTTATTTTCTTTATATTGAAGTGTAATCCATACTCCAGACTATAGTCGTTAATCTTCATGAATAAGTGCTCCAAGCCATCTTCACTTTCAGCAAGCAAAGTCATGTCGTCTGTGTATCACAGGTTGTTAATGAGCCTTCCTCCAATCCTGATGCCATGTTCTTCATATAGTCCAGCTTCTCAGATTATTTGCTCAGCATACAGATTGAATAAGTATGATGCAAGGATACAATCCTGATACACTCCCTTCCTGATTTTAAACCATGCAGTATCCCCCTGTTCTGTTCAAATGATACTACAATAGCTAAAAAATAATTTCTATCCTTATTTAGGAGTTCTGGTAGCATAGTGGCTAAGGCACTTGACTGCTAACCAGAAGGCTGGCAGTTCAAACCCACCAGCCACTCATCGGAAGGAAGGTTGGGCATTCCTACTTCTGTAGTGATACTGCCTCGGAAACCCAAGGAGGGGTCGCTATGAGTCAGGGCCAACTCGATGGCAAACAACAACAACAACAACATCCTTATTTAGTTATTTAATTCACATTTCAAAATTTCATAAGGGCTGCATTAAAAAAAAAAAAATAGTAAAGCCTCTGTAATCAAGAAAACTCTGAGACCAGATGATTTTACTGGTAAATTCTATCACACATATAATGAAAAAAGTAGCATCAATTCTATAGAAAAAGAAGAGAAGAAAACACTTCCTATCTTATTCTTGAGACAAAAGGAGAGGAAAAAAGAAAAAACAAACATATTTCTGTTGAGTTAATTTCAATTCAGGGTGACTTACGGTTACTCTAATACCAAAACCAAACAAAAATATTATAAGGAAATTATAGATCAATATCCCACATGAACACAGAATTGCAAACATTACACTTAAAAAAAAAGAAAAAAAAAAAAAAAACTTCACATGCCTGAGTATACCATCCTAAGGACATGAACTGCTTGCTATATGGTCACCTCGCTGTTGTTCCTTGGCATAAAGTACTACTTTTTAAGATGCAGTGGGGTAAAGATTAACTTTACTTCAAATAATTTGGTGCTTGTCCTTAGTTGCTGAAAGAGAAATCTAAACCTCGTCATTTCTTGAGTATTTAAAGTGCTGTTATCTAAACCTCTTTCTAGACTACATCTGGGGGTATGTGCTAATGAGTGGGAGCTGGCCCCACTAGAAAGTCCACCATATAGCTCTGTATTAGCTGACCTCCAATCAATATGACTAAGAGTGAACCCAATAAAGGCTCCAGACACGGAAGCCATGGGTTCTTGTTTGGTGAAAAAAAAAAACATCGATGAACATGGGAGGGTAGTACCATTGTTTCTCACGCAGAAGCCCCACCCTGGGAAACATCACGTCCCAAACCTCAAGCTTATGTGTCCTTCATTTGTATCTCTTTTTGCTATAATAAAGCTGCAATTTACATATATCACTTTTCCCAAGTTCTGTGAGTTGTTCCAGTGAATTATCAAATGCAAAAAAATAGGCGCCAGCAAGCAGGTCAGGAGTAAGGGGGCTCAGGAGAAACTCCTGAGCTTGCGGCTGGCATCCTGAAGGAGTAGAAGATACCTCCAAACTTGTAGCCAGCAAGCCAAAAGTTAGAGAGTCAGGGTGGCCTCCCAAGGTTGAAGTTGGCATGCTGAAAGGGGCAAAAGGAAACTCCAGCAGGTCAGAAGTTAACAATCCCAGAGGAGACTCTCAAACTTGCAGCTAGCATCTGCCTACTTGGCAGTCTAAAGAATGGTGCCCTTGTGACCTGGGAGAACTCACCTAGCTCAGGCCAAAGAAAGAACTACAGCTACATAGTTGGCATCAAAAGAGACAAAGATACCCTGGTTTCTTGTATTCTTTTCACCTAATCCCTTTCCAGATAGTCTTCTTAGCTCCCCACGCTATGCCTTCCTCTAGAGCTAACACCCTCACAGGATACTCTGGATCAATTTATTGGGGTCTAAGATAAAGGGCTGAGTCAGTTAAGGGCTGCCTCTAACCAGTACAGCCTAAACAGACCAGGAACATCAGGATCATCCACTGAAAAAAATTATCCCAAAAGATTCAAAAGGTGCAATACTAAAAAGATGGCACCATACTAAAAATGTAAATGGAGTGAAATTCACATAGCCTATAAAAAGTCCAAAGCCATAATAGTTATGTTGTTTTTACTTAGAGAACATCTGCTATTTAATTCCCTTAAAGTGCAGGCTATAATGAAATAGTTCTACCCTTAAAAAATCCAGTACTGAAGAAAACAGGAAAAGGTCAATGAGTTAAGCAAATGCTTGAGGAAGAGACCCACTCTAAGCTTTTTTTTTTTAAACCAACATACTGTTTAGCTTCAAGTAACCCTTCACTTCTTTACACTTTAACTTCCTCAGTATAAAATGTTAATAACTGGCTCAAAAAGTTTTGAAAAATACTTAACACATTGCTCTCACTGCCATCAAGTTGAATCCGACTCATAGCAACCCCTCCTTGGGTTTCAGAGGCAATATCTACAGGGAAGTAGATTGCCCAGTCTACCTTCCAAGGAGTAGGTGGTGGGTTTGAACCTCCAGCCTGGTTAGTAGTCAAATGCCTTAGGCACCATGCCACCAGAGCTCCTTAGAAGTACAATATTTAATATGCCAGTGAATAAAGTTAATTAAATGGCATTATTTAAAATCACCTTTATACTTTGTTTGAGGTAACAAATTCTGTCATTTATGTTTTGATAAGCTCCTTCATTTATTCAGAGTAATTTTCTCTCATGTTATATAACCATAAATACAACCATATTTCCTCCCACACTACACCAGCATTTCCATTAAATGTAGACTTCACTTTATACAACCACAGATGCTAATCAGAAGGCTGGCAATTCAAACCTACCAGCTACTCCTCGGAAGGAAGACTGGGCAATGTATTTCCATAGAGATACAGCCTCGGAAACCCAAGGAGGGGTCACTATGAGTCAGATCCAACTTGACAGCAGTGAGTTTTTTTCTTTCTTTTTCTTTTTAATTTCCCTCAACTGGCAGTTTAGCTGATCTCAATGAGATTTTTAAAAAGGGATTGTACAACAATCTACCAAACTTCATTAGTTCAGCTAACTCCTAAAAAAATATGCAAGCAATTGAATATAAAATAACAAGGTCAGTAAACTGAAACAGAAACCTTATTCTACGAACCATGATATGTCTGCCAAGCCTTTAGCCTTCAAGATGGTAATGTTATAATAATGGAAAGCCTTTGTCCATTTTCAGGTAATTGTAATGGGCTGTCTTAAGCCAACCACAAAATTTCATGAATTTATAGGATAAGTGGACAGAGCAGGAAGGACTATTTGAATCAGATATTCACTGTGGTGGATAACAACAGTTAAGCAGCAGCCCATGGTTGATTTTGTGGTGTCTTGCAATAACTTCAAAAAACGAAATCAACATTAAACTGCAGGTAATAAAATTATACCACCAAACAACAAAGTAATATAATGTTAAGCAGAAAAGGCAAACTAAGCAAAAACAAAACGGATCTCGCTACATGAAGGTAACTCATGGCCTTATAATATGCAAACACTTGTAAGGAAAAACAACCAAAAAACCAAATCCACTGCCACTGAGTGGATTCCAACTCATAGTAACCCCCCCAGAGTTTCCAAAGCTATAAATCTTTATGGAAGCAGACTGCTTCATCTTTCTCCCATGGAGCAGCTACTAGATTTGAACAACCTTCTGGTTAGCAGCTGACTGCCTTACTACAGTGCCACCAGAGTTCCTTAGCAAAGAAAAGAGGGTACTAAAAGATTAGGGCATTATCAGGTATTGCTCAAATATGATCCAACAACTCTAGTAACCATCTGTGTTTTCACGTTAAATATGTGATATAAAATTATAAGAAGGATATTATTCAGCCACATTTTATTTGCCTAAGGCACTTGACTGCTAACTAGAAGGCTGGCAGTTCAAACCCACCAGCCACTCCTCAGAAGGAAGGTTGAGCAATCTAATTCCATAGTGATACCGCCTCAGAAACCCAAGGAGGGGTCACTATGAGTCTGGTCTGGCACATAACAACAATGTATCATAAAAAAAAAAGTTAATGTCAAAACCCCAACTTTCAGAACATTCAAATAGGCATTTTCAGAACTGGAAGTATTCTTGTCTTTTGGACAAAAGCTACTTTTAAGTCAAACAGAATGTAATTTTACTTACTTGCTTTCTTATGTAGTAACTTGTGAGTAGCCCAGCTTCCTTTAAAACATTCCTAAAATAACAAACATAAAAATTAGTTCCTTAATTTGAAATGCTTTTATATGTTGTTTATGAGAAATAGTTATCATAAACTTTATTTGCAAAAGCCCAAACCTGTGACTTTATTCACTATAATATTTAGAAAAGCTGAAAAAATGACAACTACTGTATTAAAAAATTCACTTCAAAAAGCACTCTATAGAACATACAGATTGGGAAAAAATATTTGGTAATAACATATCTGACAAGGGACTTATCTCTAGAATTTATAGAACACTCCAACACCTCAATAACAAAAAGACA